ACTGCACGGAGCCTTGATGTTAGAACTGACAAATTACATCAGATCTAAACATCAGAGTTAAAATGAGAAACTATGCAAATTTAATGAAATGAAATACACAGATGGGTTTATTTTGGCTGCGATGGCTGGAAACATTACTGGTGATATGAACAGTAACAGTATGGTGTATTTTAAACCGCGCACAGGACATATGTACAATATACATACACAAAACAGTCAGACACATGCAACAACTACTGGGGGCTTCAGAAATAGTACCATACAAGGGGCTAGACCTAAGAGACTAATTTCAAAATCTACTAGAAACTGACCAAGAAGCTACTGAGCTAAATAAGTTATTATTCATATTATTAGTATTATAAAAAGTATACTCCTGACATCTTACAAAAACATTTAGTGATGTGTCTGGAGTCAATAATAATTTTAAATCACCTTCTACAGTTCTATTTTTTTCTACAAATTGTGGCTTAACTTCGTATGAATGCATTTTTTTTTTTTTTTACTATTAAGGTACTCGGCATAGGCAGACTCAAATCATACCTTCTTTATGACCTCATTTCTAAAGACTTTTTTCTTTTTAAAGCCACCGTTATTCCTATAATAATAATTTACCCACACTATTTTAGTATAGGGACGATTCAATGTCCCTATATGTATAAAATCCCATGTTTCTATGGTAGGCCTTGCACTCTAATAAACATGTGTAGGGATAGCACAGGCAAAGTTGTAGCCCGGAACAGGTGAATAAATCCAAATTCACATCTTCTTTGATTTTTGCTTTCTGGATTTTCCTTTTTTAAAATCATGATTTGCGTAACATAAAAGACAAATCCAGCAGTAGTGTCACCTATAACAATTGTGCTACGTAAACTCAGTCTTCAACTTTATGAGCGGGTCTGCAGAAAGTCCAGTGATGCTCCACCGTGTTCTCATTGGCACGCTCACTCATGTGATGCACGCGTGTGTTCCGAATGGTGAAGCCCTGTTTCATTATGTAGTCCATCAGGTGAACCCTTAGGGACACCTCTTGGTGATAGTCACATGGTCCAAAGGTGAATGACACTTGGCAGTCTCTGGTGTCCATCATGTGTTTGTTCCACTTGGTGAAGTTGTTAGAAATACCTTCTAGCAGGGCATGAACCTTAGTAGTTATGGTTAGCTGCGTGATGATAACAGCAACAGGGTTTGAGTACTTTGACAGTTTCCGAGTGCTGGAAAGCTCCACGACCTGCTCAAAGATGTCAGGAGGGTACAGCGGCTTTGGATCGTTGAGGCACTGGATCAAAGGTTCGATCTGGTAGAAGTCCGCCTCTTTCCTCAGGAGGTCCGTCTCTGTGAAGTCCAAAGGAAGGGTAAGCTCAGATGTCCGCAGGAAGTTCAGGATGTACCGGAAAAGTGTTCCATCCCGGTCGATGAAGTAATTCCCTTGGGAATCGCGGGTTGTAGGGAAATCTCCTCGGAACATGGCTCCCAGCATGGAGTCCGGATAGCGCTGCAGCGTGGATAAACTGGTGGTGTATAGGTGGCCTCCCACGTTCAAGGTAACAGGAGTAGTCATCTAAAAGAAAAGAAAAACCTGTCAAGCTCATGCTATTGGAACTATATATATATACATATATATATACTATATATAATATATATATATATATATATAAACAAAAAAAATATTTACAATGAAAAAAATATGGTAAAACATGAGTGGACACAATACAAGTCACTGAATCTAGAGCCAGCCCCCCCCAAAAAATAAATCAAAAACCTTTTAAACATCAATCAGCAAAAATGCCTCAGCATTGTAACTGATTAACCCTTTAAGACCTACCATAGAACCAAGTCCGCCAGAGCTTATATTATATTTTTACATGCTGTGGAGCCATTTTTGGGAGCATTTCAAGTTGCTATACATCAATACAACCATTATAGCCCAAATTTTAATAATATGTCTGCATTAAGTGCATAGTAATTACATAAATTGCAAAAAAGTGCAATAAACTACAAAAAAATTGAAAATCGTTTTTGTTTTTTTAACATATATTTCTAGTTAGAGAAATTTAAGAGGCTTATCCCTCAAAACTGTAAATACAAAAAAGTTGCACAAAATAGTTTCCCACCACAGGAAATTTATTTTGAGTGTCTTCATAGTTTTATTTTTGAAATACACCAATTTTTATATACTGCAAGAAAAACGAAAATAAATATTATAATGCAAATTTGCAAAAAAAAACAGCATATGCATCAAAATAAACTATTTCCAGCAGTGCAATATGAGTCCTAAGCATCCCAGAAACGACACAAAGTCATAAAGTCAAACATAACTTTTAAAAACACCAGTATAGGCTCATAAGGCCCTGATGGTAAAAAACTACATTTCCGCAAAATGACATCACTTCCGGTTTCGGGCAGGACATGGAGGACATGGATAGTTCACGCTGATGGACATAGGAAGTGTTACGAACAGCTGATCGGATCGGCAAAGTGTGTTTCTGGAATATTATGTTTTTGTTGCTGCAAGTGCTTTTTATGCAGTTTTTGCAAAGCTATATGTGGAAGGAAACTTTGACTTAGGACAAGCTGATGGCATAAGATGCAAGTACAACGCCTCCGGTTTCATATGCAAAAAAAATTATTGCGCTAGCTTACGTGGTTGCAGTGCTACCGGGATTTAAAAATAGTTACGCAAAACAGAGCGTGCCTGCTCCGACCGGCTTTAAAGGGTTAATGCAGGATTTGCTACCTTGTATTAGACTAAACTAGTTTCAGCTAAAGTGGCAACAGAGCAAGTTTATGTGATTATGTGATCCATTGTCAGACACATGTCAGGTTTCTTAGGTGTCTCTTACCCTATGGCCCCAGTCTCCATTATCCATTTGTAGAAGAATAGCAGCTTGGCCAGAACCAAAATAGAGAGGGAACGAATGAGGATCAGCTCACTTTGATTTCACCTGTGAGAAAACAGTGATATTAACATCAGCTGTAACAAGACTTCATCTGCAGAACAAGACGGACACAGTCTTGTTCTAGGTTAAATGAGGTTTTTCAGTACAGACTTAAGCATCTGTGTGCATGCCTTGATTTATTTGAGTAAGGGTAAGCGTAAATAAACAGACTGTGCAAAAGATTTGAGTGGTGTTATTTTCAATGTGACTTTACCCTCTTACTGTGAATTCAGCAGCCTGGGATGTTAGTAGATGCTGGGACTCTTGTGATAAGATTTTATTAAATTTGCATTCAGGAACAGGTGGAGCTGAAGCTCTGAACCTTAATCCCAAAGCCAACATGGCATTGAAGTGCTTTGTGTGCTCAGCACAAGTCTGAATTTCTAAGTATGGATTTTATTTAATTTAAAGAAAATAATCTCAAAAGCCACTCTGCATAAACACGAGATGACAGGCTTTTGTTTTAGCCTCCACAGTTACTCGTGATAGTTGTGATAAACCTTACTAATCTGGCTGTTCTTTTGGAAATTCTGACATTATTCTTTTTTACATAGTTCTCCAGCTGTACCCAATCAGGGTCAAGAATAACAGAAAAGGGAATATAAGAATACGCTATCAAAACAGTAATGTCCTTAAACCATCATTAAAGTAACAAGATCAACTGGGGATTAAAGAAATACAAATGACAATAACAATGTTACCAGATGTCACTATACAGTATTTCATTGATATTCACTGAGTGTAGTAAAACAATTTGCACTGCTGCGACAGAGGAGGATGTTAGGGTGCAGCAGGGTGAGATGGAGGAAGATGACCTGCTGTGGCAACCTCCAAGGGAGGAGCCAAAAAAGGAAGTGCTTATAAACACACACAAACACGCACGCACGCACGCACACACACATATATATGTATGTGTGTATGTATCTATGTATGTATGTGTGTTAATTTAAAGGAAATTGCCAATTTAAATAATAAAGCACTACTATCCACTTTCCCAACTTGTGTACCACAAGGAGACACTTAGAGTATCTGCATATTTCTGTATACTTAAAGTAATACAGCAAGTATAAGTAAGCCAATATTCTAAGTAAGAGAGTAACTGATGTAAATTATACTCGCAGAATTTGGTTTTATGATCTGAGCTTTCATCTAAAGGCAAATAACGTACGCGGTACAGTCCTAATTCTTAATTTCCTTTAAGCAACCCTTAGTACTCCCCACCTCATTTGTTATGCTACTATAATGTGGCTGGTTGCAGAGCAGCAAATACAAGGCTTGGTTCTATCAATTGCTGCTTCCCTGTTTAAATATAAACTTAACATTTCACTTTCAAAGCATGAAAGTCGGGACTAAATAGCAGAAACCACAAAAGCACTCAACTTGAAACTTAAACCTGGCGCAGATAAGCACCCTATATAAAACTGCCCACACAGACCTGTTTTACTTACAACATTTAACTAAGGTGTATTGGTTCACTGCATGCTAGTGAAGCCAGCTAACCAATGTTTCTTTAAAATATCCAGTCGACAGTGCCTTTGCAGTATTTGCTGCCAACTGGCTAACAAGCTGCTACAGCAAGCCCCGAAGTGCATTTTTAAGTTTAGTACCGTTACTACATCACAAACCCAGCTCGGATACACAGAGCTGTGTGGCGTGAAACACAATGAAAGCATACAAGTTAACATACAACCCGCTAATCTAGCTAATTGCTAGCTTCTGGTTAGCAAGCTAACGCAGCTAGCACCCCATTAGCTGCTCCTACTACTAAGGTTAACGCCAGGGTCTTAGTAGGACCGAGCAGTGAGTGACACATGAGCTAAAACCATGCCTTACCTGCTCTCTTTCGTGCGTACTTGTGTGTTTGTTTTTATTCAGCGACAGAAGCCTGTGGTTGGTGTCTAACGGTGCAGCTTGAGAGTCACTGATGTTTACCGCTGGTCGCACCGGGTAACTGTGCTCGGCTCCGGGCTAAACCAAGACTGCGCACACAAGGAGGATCAAGTAAGAGAAGGAGGGAGGTCCTGGTGCAGCTGCAGGCGCCTCTCAGTGAATCACACTCACACATAAACGCATGGTCGTTTTATTATCGTCATGCAGCTTGTGTTATAACAGAAATGTGATTCATTCACACTGAAGAAATGCAGGAAGCCTTCAATAATTTCCTACTATCTTAATTGTACATTTTTGTGAGGTGTCTGCATCTTCTATACAAAAGCAGGAGCACTTGGAGCATTAGAATAACATGAAACGATGAAAAGTCTTTAGGTCAGGTGGCTTTCTTTGTGCCACTTCTGGCATTTTGCTGCAAGATGATGAACTCCAGAATGAGTCTGGCTGTCCGAGAAGGCCTCTCCATCACCACAGAGTGTCCGCAGTTCTCCAGCAGATCCACTCTGCATTCAGGCAAGGTCTCTGCAATCACTGCCGCTCCAGAGACATCCACCACCTGAGCAAATGCAGATGATTACCAATATGTCTATGACAGGGATGCCAAACTAACTTTGCACTGCTCACTTTGACCTTAAGTGGTGTGGACCAGTGAAACTCTTCTTTTTGTCAGTGTAAAGAAGTTTATCTATGAATTTAATCGAAGAGGAAAAATAGTGGGAAAAAGGAACTTCTCTGTTATTTCATTTTTTAAAATTTGTTACTTATTTACTTTGGTGAAGTATAAATGGCCATGGGGGAAGTCTTTATCAGTAGCCAAAGCTGTAAAACGTATAAAAATGCAATTCAATTTACGACCTTCATATTTCCCAAAGCTGTTTAGTGGGCCAGACTGAAGTCTTTCTCAGCCCAAATCTGGTACCCGAGCTTTATGTTTGACACCACTGCTCTATAAAGTTTCTCTTTAATAGAAAGCCTGAGCCACCATGTACAGCACGTGTGCACCTGGAATATGAATCTTCAGATTAGTTTAGATGCAAAACCTGCTGTGTAATCATTTATGTACTTGGAGTCATTGTGTTAGTTTACCTGGTCTTGTTTGCCCCATATCACTTGTAAAGGTGTGGTTATTAGATGCAAGTGGTCCTGTAAGGCATATCTTGATTTCTCACCTACAATCTCCATAAAAACTAAAGAAAAAGAGAATTTACTGGAATTTTTCCACTAAACTGGAAAATACTGAAATATTTCAATACAAAGTGAACTGACCCTCTTGGTAAAATGTGTTGTGAGGCTCTCGGACATCTACCAGGCCTTGAAGGATCTAATCAGCGAAAAAGTAGCTTTAACAAAAAGTTCACAAAATAAGCCAAGCTTCGAATAACAAAGCAATTCAGTAAGACGATTACTACTCTGTATTTATTATTTTTATAGTCTACATCATGATTGCAAATTATTAGCGCATAAAACAAAACAAAAAAAATGTATACTTGAAATGAAGGCCTGACCTGCTGAGGAATTTTAAAGCGAACATGGGAGCACAGTTTGAACATATCCTCCATCTCCTCGGGTGTAGTGGGGATCAGCGGGATGTTCAGGGTGTAATTGCTGTGTTCCAGGTCCTGCACATGATTGTCAAACTTGGTCTCACATGGATGTCTTATTCCTGCAGAATAAAATGATGATTTTGGACACAAAGTTAATTTCATGCTCTGTATTAATCGGTTTGCTATTAAAAAGGCACTATTTAATCTCCAGAGAGCCCCCGTCCTCATATGGGGACAATAAATTGTGGCTTTCCTGCACCTTATCCTTTACTCTGTTCAATAATGTGATTTATATTTTGCTAAACAGTGTCTTTATCGTGTCTTGGCATAAAATAAACCCAGTCCCAATCATTTAATGTTGCGCCCTGGGAAAATTAATTGCATAATGGGTCCAATTACAGATCCAGTCTTAGGTGGAATGTAGGGTTTATATTAGTAATTAAATATTATGTCTAGCTGAACATATTTTTTTGTCATGAAAAAAAAAGTAACAAACTAAGCAACCTTCACACTTTCAGAGCCCATATGCTGCAGAATGAGTGCTCACTTGGCCAACCAGTTGAACAGCATTTCTCAGTGGCACTACTGGTTAGCCTGACCCATATGTCACCCCCCCCCCCCCCCACACACAACCTCTCCCCCCCCCCCCCCCCACACACACACACACACACGTTCCTCCTTAGGATAAACGGAAAACCACCATAAAAGAAACACTTTGTACATTTTAAATAGTCTCCCTCATGTAAATACACTGACGTTGTCAATATCTTGGTTTTTCATACATTGCATTGTTCATATTCGGCTAACAGTGAAATGTGTTTAATAAATAAACTTACATTAAAGTTCATACTCACTTGTGTTGAGTAATTGTGAAAACAGCATTAAGTTAAATCCACATATATCTGGCATGTCTTGATGTGTCTTTATGATGTTGAATTATGTTAATTTTTTTAGCCATTTTGTCAAACTTTTAAAATATAGTATGGTATTACACTACCTCTATTTTGAACAAGAAAATGAATAAAACTAACTGTATTTTGTTAACCCACTGATTCTAAAAACTTTGGATTTTCTGTTTCTACATCTTATACATCTTAGGACCCTACTCTATTTCCATTTGATCACAGAGGTGAAGTCCTTAGTTGGAGCTCTTCCTACATCTAACTTCTTTTTCTGTTTTTTTGGTAAGTTCCTTCATTTCTTTCTATCTATCTATTAAGAAATGTGAGTGCCTGTTTAAAGTTAAAATATTCACTCTTTTCTGCATCCAGCCTCTCTTTGGACAAAGCACAAAGAGCTCATTGATGATGGTTTACACAGGAACACACAAAGGTGTGTTTCCATGACTTCAGAGGACAGTGTACTGACTTTCATTTCCTAAAGAATTACCACAACTCTAAGCACTGATTGCCGAAACAAGTCTTCCCTCTAAAACGTACTCCCTTTTTCTCACCATATTAGAACTGAACCCTACAAAGTGACCTTGACAGCAGACGGATTTCATCACAGCATAGTACGATTGGGCTCACGCATACACAGACACACAAACACACTGACTGACCATCTGGACAGATGAGAGTCATGCTACAGATTTCTGAGGGATAGCAGGCTGCGTAAACCCCGGCTACATTTCCCCCCATGCCGGTTCCAACCAGATGGAACTGTTTCCTGTTTAAGCGGATGGTTTCCACAAACTGAGAAGAACAAAAGACAAAAACAGAGTTTTACTGGAATGATTTAGGCACCTGACAAACACACCAACATATTTTAAAAACTATCTATTGGGTGTACCTGATGGATTCTTTTGACCTGCCCCTGAATGGAATAATCATCTATGTTGGTGCGTGTTGTCCCCTCATGGCCAGGCATGTCCACACACATAATGTGCAGATGTTTTGGCAGATACTGGAGCAGCAGAAGACAAAAAAGAACGCTTAATGTCATTAATATGATAAATGCATTCAAGCCAAGAAAGGGTGTTTTAAGAAGAATTTCATAAACAGCACAATATGTATTTATGAAATCATTTCTAATTAATGTTTAAATTTAAATAAATTCCAGTCTTTCTCTTGGATCGTGTGACTGATGGAGCATAACTCCACTGGATTGATGTCTGACTAAAAGCATACATTCAGCCTTTCTTTGACAAAAAGTTTGAGTGTTAGCTAGTTTTAAGCTGAGTGTTAGCCCCATGAGCTATTGGGAAATAAAATGCGATGTCTAGTGTCAGCCAAACCTTGACAACAGTGAGCCATGTGTCTTTGTGAGCAGAGAAGCCATGCAGCATTAAGATCGAAGGTCTCATTCCAGGCTTTCCTCTGTAGGAGTAACAAAAGCGATAACCACCACAATCCGCATAGCCCACCTGCAGGCCCAGAGTCCTCCTCCAGTACCTGAAAACAAGCAGGTACCATATCTGAGCTACAAAGACTTACATGCAAATTCAAATCTGGGCTTTCTTCGCTGAAATGCTTTAAAGGATTAATGATGAGGCAGATTCTTTTTCTTGGATAGTCACAGCAACTAAGACACAAGAAATATCATTAAACAAAGTATGCTAGGTAACCAATGCCACAGTTTTCAACAATGTCATTGATAAATGAATATAATCTTTAGAGCACCTTTCCAAATTAGAAATCACAAAGCGCATGACAAGAAAGGGCAAAGAAAATCCAGGTACACTATACAATATGTACATACACCACTTTGTTAGGCACACTTGTATAACTGCTTATTAACACAAATATCTAATCAGCCATCACAGGGTGAGATGCGAAAGCTCAAACCGTACATCAGAATGGAGCAGAACGGTGATTAAGTGACTTTGAGAGAATGGTCAGAAAGAGAAACTATCCAATGAGCAGCATTTGTCTGGGTGGAAATGTGCTGTTGATGCCAGAGGAGAATGGCCAGACAGCTTTGAAGTAATGGGAAGGCAAAAAAATAACCACTTGTTTCAACCAGAGTATCTTTGAACATTCAGCAGGCCAAACCTTGAAGCAAATGGGCTACAGCAGCAGAAGATCCCATTGAGTGCCATTTCTGTCAGCTAAGGACAGAAAAATCACACAAGCTCACCAAAACTGGACAATAGAAAATTGCCCACTTTGATGAGTCTCCATTTCTGATGTGACATTCAGAGTGTATGGTCAGAATTGGGCATAAACAAGATGAAAGCATGGATCCATCCTGCCTTGTACTAATAGTTCAGGCTGCTAGTTGTGCAGTGGTGTGGGGAATATTTTCTTGGCACACTTGGTACCAGTTGAGCATTGTTCAAAATATTGCTACCTATTTGAGTATTGTTGCCATGACTATCCCTTTATGGCCACAGTGTACTCATCTTCTTATAGCTTCAATATAACGCACCATGTCACTAAGCTAGAATCAGGCTCCAATTACAATGAGTTCACTATACTCAAATGACTCAGTCCCCACATCCCAGTCCAATAGAGCCCCAGTGAGTGGGGTAATGGAAGCCAGCAAATCTGCTGTAACTATGTGATGCCATCATGTCAATATGGACCAAAATCTTTCAAGGATGTTTCCAGCATCATGTTAAATCTATGCCTAAAAGAATCAAGGCAGTTCTAAAGGCAAAAAGGGGGTCCAGCCCAGTACTAGCAAGGTGTACCTAACAAAGTGGCTGTTGAGTGTAAATCATAGATTCAATCAGATAGAAACATCAATAATGTGATTAAACCTCATCCTGGATTAAGTTAGCATTCCAAACCAAACATTCTGACTGACACATAAAAATATATCATAGAATAGTATAAAATATAAATTGAAGCACAGCACAAGAAAGTCATCTACATTACCAGTAATACACTTTAATTAATGCAGAGGGCCAGAGAAGAAAGGAAGCCAGAAAGGCCAGGATGGGAATAGCCAGTGTTCCTCCAGCAATAATACACAGGTTCACCACATCCAGATCAGCTGCCATGGCTCAACTGAAAACAAATGAACACAAACTCACGCATTGTCCTTCTGGGGAGAAATCTGTTAGATGAATTCCACATAATTTCCATATTTAGTTAAGACTATAAATAAAGGGATGTCTTTAGGATGTGCATGTGCACAAAATAACATGATACAAGCTGTAAAATAACTAAAGCGCGCTTCTATAACAAAACACACATGCTAAAAAAAACTGTAAAAACTTACCTTTGAGATGATTTTCCCCTCCTTTCTTCTATCTCAGGCGGGAGCATCAAAAGTGATTTTGTTAAATAGGTGCACAGCATGCACACTCTACAACATTTATTTCTGCTATTTTTATGTGCAGAAAGTATCAGTGGTTAACTAATATTTCTAAAATGAAAAGCGCCTGTTGCAGAGGGCAGTTATTCGTTTCAGATTATGCCTGCTCTGAATAAACTCATTGATTCTCATCGTCGGGGTAAAATAGGCCACTCCATCATTGGGTCGATCATTTAAAGTGAACACACAGGCCAAGCTTTGTGCAGACAAGATAAATTGGGGTTCTGAATCAGACTTTAAATACTGAAAAAATAATTTTTTAGTGTGTATGACAGACCTGTCTTACTTCCATCTGGGACGAATCCCAGAAATAAATGTGCACTTTCATAAAAGGTGCCTCGTTTGGTCAGATGCAGTGGCACTCACTATTTTTTACTGACACGGTTAGTCTGAGAGTGGAGGCTGAGGAAGGCCAGTCCAAACAGCCACATCAAATTACAAGCTGAAGCTTAAGGCTAAAACTAACCACTGGGTGTCATTATAGAGGCAGACTGTTTCCTGCAGTGTGTGGTAAAGTTTCAAGGGTCCTTTGCACAGGGTGTCGTGAGGACCTAACTTTAAGATGTCGTCACTTCCAGTTCAGTGGGGATTGAGGCTTTTAGGGAATTGGATACAGATTTCATTTGCAGATGTGAGCGGCAGAATATCACATCTTTGCAGACATGCTGCCCTACTGCATTGATGCTGACTCATCAGACTTCCCCCAGTGCTGTGTACATTTCTATATTTATTTTTCTATATTTATCCAATGCATAGAGATGTGTCAAAAATATATACAGATAAAAACATGAAGCAGAAAAATAAATCATAACCCTAAAAATTAAAACTACATTTTCCAGATATTTTCAACTAGATTAAATCTGCTCAACTAATAAAAGCAATAACTTTGCAAAGTAACACTGGGTGTGATTCTGATTTAGAATTAATCAGCAGTGTTTTTCTGTTTATCACCTTGTGTGCATCAGTCCAATCAGAGTCTAAAGGTCTGTAAAGCACACAGTACTGACAACTGTTAAATAAACAGCTGATAACTGCTGTTGGGAAAGTGACGTTCAGCTTCTGAGATCTGCTAAAAACACCCGAGCTGTTCATTATACTGTCATTTTAGTAAACTGGTTTAATCATTGTGGTTATTCACAAACAATGTCAAAATTTAAACTGAACCCAATACAAAACAAGGATTACAGAGTAAAAAGGCTGAAGTTCACAGATGCCACTCTGCTGCATCTCTGGTCCACTACAGATGACCTACATGCAAAGTAGAGCAGAACAAATGGACACGGCAATGCCGCAGAGGGGCTCGCCTTGCATGGGAATGATTCTCATATTTGAGTGTATATAGGATGGAGGGGATGCTCCCAGTCTGCTCGCTTTGACTACATCACGTTAGCCGTCGTATTATGTCCTGAGAGGAATACTTGGTGGAGCAAAGCTGGCAGAACAAAAAAAAGAAAAGCAATGTAGCGACACAAAAACGTGTCACGATGACACATTCACACAGGTCAGCTGTTTTGCTGGGAGCAACGACCTCATTGTGAAATTTTAAATTTGCCAATAGAATCGTGTTGAGAAACACTCGGCCTCATCCTTAAAGAGTAACTGTGAGTGTTTGGGTTGCTTTAAGGGAGTTGCTGCAGTGAGTGTTTGTCTCCCAGCAGAAAGACAACCACACAGGCATGGATCGATTAGTGAAGCAGCTTAAAAGACCAAGAATCCCTTCATTTGAGCCTCAGTTCAGAAGTGATCAGTAACATTTCTTCATGGAAAATAAACAACTACTAGAAATCGTAAAATTATTCATTGGAAGAAAATAACTAATGGAGTTGTCTGACTATTTTAGAAGAGTATCTTTTGCGTACATTTTCTGCTTGTATGGTTTTGTGTCACGCTTCCATGATACAATTGGAGGGGGAAAAAAAGAAAAAGTCAAAATCAAAGCAGCAGAGACTGCAAGGTCTGTACTCTGATGCTGAGGGTCCATCTGGTCACAATTTCTGGAACAGTTTGTTTGTGGTGGCAACCTTGTTTAACCCTGATGTTAACTTTGCATTCTAGGATGTGGAGGAATTAAACTCAAGAGAATCAATGGTCTCACCTGGACTAGCATCACACCTTCATTTGAGCCTTCTGTGTTTATCCTTTCTACGATAGACACATCTAACTAAAGAGCAGAGTGAAGGTTCTCCCGCGGCTTTTATACATGTACTTTGGCTTACATTTCCCCCTCCCTCTTTCAAAGGAAATGAAACTGATGAGAAATACAACAAGTTCCCCCACTCTGCATCTGATTCATATCAGAGCAAACTGACTATATGTTTGGAAATGCCCTTAGCCGTAAAAGATTAACCCTTTAAATACAGTTTATGACACAACCTGTGTTGCAGCTATGTAGTGTTCAGATGAAGCAGAGATAATCCTGTTGACATCACCAGGTATATTTTGTCAAAAAGTGGCGAATAAGCTGAAACTCTAATTTAAAAGAAAAAAAACAAACAAAAACAAAAATGTTTTTCAAAAAAAGAAGTGAAAAAAGTGAAATCTATTAGCTCTGGGAGAATCAGGCATAGTTTGTCCTGTTTTCCAGGATTGTCTAATCCATTTAATCCTATGATCATGACAGCCTATACAATGCAGGACTAGTTATAAATGAGATGACCTATGTACAAGGATTTTTGTCTTAATTCCCACATTGATACCAGCTTTTGCTTTGCTTGTTGAAAAACAGGATGACGTTCAAGCTGATCAGTCTCGTCTGCCACTCTACGCCTCTATGCAAATAGAAGGTAAATTGCAGGCTGATGCCTGTCTACATGTTGACTTTACAACAGCACATGCTTTTCAGGTGATACACACCTTTTACCTAACAAAACATTACTCTCAGCATTAACCATTTTCTTTAAATGTCAACTGCAACACATAGTGTGATAGAAAAGGGAGGGAAAAACAGCAGATATGAGACCAAACTTAACCCTTCCTGGATGACAGGAGCGATATCAATATTCTAAAATGCTACAGAAAAGATATGACCTCTTCATGTAGACCAATTTGTCTACATGAAGACAATGGATGAATGAACGGATGGATGAAGATAATGGTTATTTAGGAGAAACAGAAGCCACCCTCTACTGTCTTCAGAATGAATTCCCTGTTGCATAGATTCAACAAGGTTCTGTAAATATTAGTCAGAGATTATGGTCCATATTTGAGTACAAAATTGAGTACAGTGAACTCATCGCAATGTTCAAGACACAAGTTTGACATGATCTGAGCTTTGTGACATGGCATGTTACCTTGCTACAGGTAACCATCAGAAGATGGGTACAGTGTGGTAATAAAGTGGTGGCCAACAACAATATTCAGGTAGTTTGTAGTTTAAATAATGAGCTATTACACCACTACTACCAATCTCAACTACTTGTACAAGACACGGTGGATTGATGCTTTCATCTCTGTCCATCCATCCATTCACGTTAGTTATGTCAATTCTGACCTCATGTCTGAATAGACTTCTTCCAATTTTCTTCTGTTCAGTTTTGATGGACCCATGTGAATTGAGAGATTAGAGGATGCTTTAGATGTTAACGGTGCTGGAGCGGTTTAAATCATAAATATACAACAGACTCCAATTTGTAATAACAAACACACACCCATTAGTGCAACTGCAGGAATGATCAGGATGACCTCAAATTTACTGTTTCTTAATAGTAGCATTTCCTCTTTTTCAAAGTTTAATATGGGCAATTGTGGCTCAAGAGTTGGGAGTTCGCCTTGTAATCGGAAGGTTGCTGGTTCGAGCCCTGGCTTGGACAGTCTCGGTCGTTGTGTCCTTGGGCAAGACACTTCACCTGTTGCCTACTTGTGGTGGTCAGAGGGCCCAGTGGCACCAGTGTCCAGCAGCTTCGCCTCTGTCAGTGCGCCCCAAGGTGGCTACAATGTAGCTTGCCATCACCAGTGTGTGAATGGGTGGATGACTGGATGTGTAAAGCACTGTACAAATACAGGCCATTTACCTTTTTTTTTATTTTTTTTTACCATGTTGTGTATTCAAAGATGTTCTTCTGCATACCTTAGATGTAACAGCTGGTTGCCCTCTTACCCTCTGACTTCAACAAGGCATTTTCTCTGCAGCTCATTCTGTGCCCATTCATATGCTTGGTTTGAAATTGAGCGTGTAATCTTAATTATGCCTACTTGCCTAAACACACTGAGCTGCTGCCACATGATTGGCTAATGATATAACTGTGTTAGCGAGCAGGTGAACAGGTGTGCCTAATGAAATGACTCTATGTGTTTAATTATACATTTTAGGTTTCCCCATGCATGCAATAATTTCAGCAACCCTGCCCCTTAAGTTAATTTACCATTCATGATCATAAAACTGAAATGAAAAGTTAAACAAAACAAACAAACAAAAACAGAAAAAAGCAAAGCAGAAACTAAATACAGATAAGTACAACTGCAGTCTAGACAACGGCCACATAAATGAAGAAAATGGATCTAAATGTATGTTTCTGCAATTTTCTTTAATGGTTCTCTGTTGAGAAAAAACAAACAAGATAAACTCCTGCTCAGCTCAATTCCGTCTGAAACGCTATCTATTTTCACATAGATAACAGTTACACCAACAGATCTCTTTGCAGTTCCCATCACTAATGCAGTTACCCATCTATGGCTTTCATTACACACTCCATTAGGGGGTGTTATTGTGACAATCTCCATTATTATGACAATTACATAGAAGTGCTACATTTAGAGCTCAAGTGATCCACCTAAAACATTATCATAAATACTAATAATTAGTTGAGTTTGTGGCATATTTATTTATTTTTTACATTCATCCATATTCCCAATCAAAATTGTAAACTTGACTAGACTTCCTGTAAATGACGGACGTACAAACTTACTTTGCACACAAAAATCACATTCTTTTATTAACTTCTCTGCCATCTAAAATAGAGCATCTTAAAAATTAAACAGTTAAATATGAGCCCTCCGAGTTAATAGTGCAGATATGATAAGGAGGGCAAGTTCTGACACCTGAAGACAAATATGGATTCCCTTGTGTGTGTGCGTGGGTGGGTGGGTGCGTGTGTATGCATGAATGAGTCGCCCTCAGGTCCTGAAGAGCACAGCAGCAGTCACAGCTGTCAGAGCCACAGCAACCACAGGCCCCCAGATCATCCACAGTTTCTGGAATAAGTGGCAACACAGAAATAGAAAGTTGAGCAACAGCGAATAAACATGCACCCATTTTGGATCACCAAAGCTTTGACAGAGGGAGCCACTGAGATCAAGGCAGTGCACAAATACAAACAGCGCTTGCAGATAAAGATAAGCATTATCAAACACCAACTGTGAGAAACAGTTGTTAAGCATTAGCCATCCAGGCAGGACAAACAGATGTCAGATGTTGAAGCTGTATGATTAGAGAGGTTAGATTTCTGAAGAATTTTTTTTTTTTCTTGGGGGATTTTCCCCTGAGGAAGGCATTCTCGGGAATGAGGAAAACCTGATTAAATCATGCAATGGTCTAAGAGACACTGATGAGGATGAAAAGATGTAGGCCAACTTGACAGGAGTAATGTGTACCTTGCTACCACAATGCGCCGAAGCACCAATACAGCAAAGCCAGGATAAGGCCGATGACTATGGCTTGAACAGGCAGCAATAGGGATGTCTACAGAAGGGAAGGGATATTATAGTAATCAACTGCAATGGGACATACTTTGGTTGGTTTATTATTAGATCCCTCAGTCAGTTCTCTACGCCTGTAACTAGTATTTATACAAATCTCAGTCACACACGGCTGTCAGTGTGTCATTGTTAGTTCACACATACAGATACAAAGGAGCTGGACCTTTATGGCCTCATAAATCCGTAGTTGTGTGTCCGGTGTGTGTTGTGTTTAGTACAGAGTTGACATCCTACATATCAGTGTTACTATACACGGTCATGTTTATCTCCTGTTGTACAGCATAGTTTGCTGAGTTTTTCCCCCACCTTTTTGTATTTGCTGAAGATGTTTTAAGCTGTCAGGTATGCCTGGCATTTAAGTCCATTATCTGAATTGGAAGTGATACAGTTGCATGGTGCTCTCACCTCAGCTTAGCTACCAAATAGCAGCCGTCTGGCACAGCTTTTTGAATCCATATGTGTGAATGGCCCATAAAAGCAACACTAATAGACACTGGATGACTAGAGGGGAGCATATGTGCTAAAATAAAAAAAGAGATAATATTTGTGAATCTTACAATAAGATTCATCTTTTATATCTGGAGATGCTGCGCAAACAGATGCTGAACAAAAGGGGAACATTGGAAATGAAGCCCATGCCCCCCCAAAACAGAAACTGCTAAAGAAGTTATTGCCCCTGAAAATAAAAGTGCAGATGATTGTTTCCACACTCAATATATTATTTTTTAAACCTGTTATATATCATTATACACGATGCCATTCATATATTAGGGAAAAATGCCTTCCTGTTTTTGCTGTGCGTTTGATAGATGAGTACTCACCTTTGTCCCTTTTCCTTGCAGTTCCTCCATGTTGGCTCTGCATGCCTCGAGTTCATCTGTAACCAGTTGTTTTTCCTGCTCAACCTTCTCGTATTTTTCCTTGAGGTCTGACAGCTCCGTCCTAGCCTCCTCGTACTGCATGAAGCAAATTAAACATTTGATTCAAATATACACTCATCAGTTTAGATTAATTTAAAGTTTTTAGTTTGATGGTATTGTGTAATGCTTTTGAGGAACTGTTTCTGTTGCCATTTACAAGATAAACCAGTCTTTCCTGCAGTGCTTAACTGCTGAATTTTCTATACATGAGCTAATTAGGGTGAGGTGCAGTCCTTATATAAGGGACAACATTATTCCCTCCTTCCCCCCCTCATTCATTCATTGTGTCAAAGATGACCCAACTATGCTTTCTACTACTTAGCACTGCCACTCCTCATTAACTGACAGCAGCCAGTGATCCCCATACAAACCTAGAGTAGGTATTGCCCCTGGACAGCACGCAGCAACCTGTGAAATATCTGGGTGGGATCTTTTTTTGTTGTTGTTGTTTTTTTGGGAAGAAGCATGGACTTTCTTTATAATGTCAGTAAGAGTCATAGATTTATTGACACAAGTGTCTTAAAGGCTTCAGAGAAAGTCATTAAGGCTCCATGATGGCTTCACCATTCAACTGTGGTGGATGTGACTTTGTTCTGACCTAGATGACGCCAACATCGTCTCAAAATAGAAAGCTCTAAATTCTCAGCAATGATCACTCAGAGACACTTTTAGTCATGGGAGAATGTGAGTTTTCTAAAATAGTGCAGTTGTCCTCATCATCCCATCATGAGGTATTTCTGCGCAATCTTAGATGATGAGAAGAAATACAATAAAGTACCTTGAGTAGACGACTTTGAGAACAGCTGCCCGTCTCATACAGCTGTAAATGTCCTGAATGGCAACAATTTGCAGTACTTCTTTTGTAAATTGGTTGTTAACAGCAAATTTCTTTAAATTATGTTACATGAGATTAAATAAAATGAAAGCATTAAAAGGTTTCTTCAAGACACTTCAGTCTTAGTTTGCTCAAAGTTATTTGAGTTCCACATTGATTTTACTGTCCTGCATTAATAATTTGAGTAAAAACCAGATTCTTGTAACTCTGTTGGATATTGCAACTGCTAATAATGCCAAAAACAAATCAAGTGATTTTAATTTGCTCACTTTAAATCACACAAAACTGAGAAGCGCATCATATCAGAGCACCAATTACAAGTACATGTTCTTGAGTCTTGATTTTTAGTCAAATGGCAGTTTGACCATGAAACCGAAGCAACAACATAAAAGTTTTGACTAATGTGTTATCATAGCCAGGATGTGTTCGTATTTGAACTTAAATCACTGAAAAAATGGGAGAACTGGGAATTTTCCAGAAATTATGACTTTACATTACCTAAAAAAGTTAAATGTAAATCTAAAATGTAATAAGTAATATTGCTAAAGTTATATTCCACTATCCTGATAATACGTTGTCCTTGTATTTCTAATTCTCCTAGGCTTTGTGGTAACTTGCCATTTATTGTAATAAGAGTGTAATTTGACTTTCTTTCAAAACCTCCCCTTTCTCACAGTGTCCCAAAGTAATTTCATAAATACTGCAACAGCTTGTCAGCATTGGGCCTCTAAAGCAGCACGGTCAGCAGCACACTGGCAGCAGCTACAGTCTTCCAATAGCCTCTAAACTGGATCAGTTCTGCCACAGATATACATTCAGAACCACTACCATTTAGCTAGAAAAACTAAAATGCAAAAATTCAAGTGAAAACTAACAGGACTGAAGTCCAAATCAAATTTGGACAGCATTAATGAGTAAAACACGTGTGTGATTATAAGGCCTGTCAGTTGCAGGACTGTATTAAAAGCCATCCAGGTCAGAGAGGGTTCACTTTTCACATTTGAGATAGAAGTATTCATTTGCATGACACCCACTAAGATACTGGACACCTAAGGTTGATGCCTCAACTTTTGAGGGGCGTACCTCTTTTTGCAGAGCCTTGCTGCGGCTGTCTGCCTCATCCAGTTGGGTTTGCAGTGTGGTGCTATCCTGCTGGTGCTGGAGCTGCAGGGCTATCTGGCTCTTTTCCATCTCCTGCCAGGTCTGCTCAAGGGATCCAAGGCTATTTTTCAGCTCAGTGTTCTGGGCACGCAAACTACCAGAAGCAAAACAAAACTGAGTTCAATATGTAAAAGATGAGAGAAA